GAAGAAGATTAAATAAAATATATAATATCATAATGATGAAATAATAAGATAATAAGAAATGAATATGAATTAAAATTAATAAGAATAATTATGTACTATGAATTGAAATAATGAAATAAGAGAAATAATGAAAATGAATAAGAAATGAATTCGGAAGAGATTTCATAAATCATGTAATAAAAGAATTAATAAAAATGAAAATAATGAAATATTTATTGTTACAAAATAATGAACTAATAATAAAATATTTAAATAATAAATTTAATGAAATATATATTAATAAATTGAAATTAAATAATGTAAATATCATTTAATAAAATATTTTGAAAATAAAATGAATGATATAAAATTAACAAGTAGAATAATGATGAATATTAATATAAAAAGAAATTAATATAAACAATTAAAATTAATGTAAGAAAATGGTACGTTTGTATTAATTAAGAAAGTATTAATTATATGAATTAATAACTTAAAGTAGTGTAGTATTTGTAATGATAAAATATCAACAAATGAACATATATTATTAAATTACATTGTAAATAAGAATATATAAATGGAAAAACATGATTTAATAAGAGAATATATCTAGAGAGTGATAAATTAAAATATAAAATAAATATAATGAATGATGAAGAAATAGAGAATAAAACAAGAGAGAATAAAATGAAATTAATATTAATAAAAATGAAATTGGTAAATTCAAAGAAGATGAAAATAATGAGTGTTCATTGTATTGAATCAAGAAATAGTTAATAAAAGTGAATATTTCATAAAATACCAGATATTTATATAGAGGATAAAATAAAATAAACAAGAATAATAAATGATATGACAATAATCTGATAAAATGATAATTCTAATATTTATTAATAAATTTAAAATGTATAGAACTCTCCAATTCAAAATAAGACAAATTAATAAACTAAAACGAAAATAATTCCAGTAGTAATAACAATAAATAGATTAGTTAATAAAGAGTCTGTATGAATGTTAAAAGAACAAAGTAAATAATTGCATGTGAAATAATGATAAAAGATATAATAATTAAAACATGAAAAACCTAATGAAATATTGTGGATATCATAGAGGTGAATAAGAGAAGCATCTCATGAAAAGTATATTCAATAGAAAGTGAATGATGTAATCCCACCTGAGCAAAGTGAAGTAGAAAAACCAAGAACTACTAAAACCTAATTTATTAATTTTTATTTTATTTTTGTTTTGACTTGTTTTTCTCGATTTGACTATGATGTTTTTGTAACTTTTGTTTCTGAAACTCTTTGACTTTCTCACTTTCACTTCTTTCCCAAAATTAATTCTTTAGATTAACTTCACTTTTTTGTTGTGTTTTGTCATTACTCCATCATCTCTTTCCTCAAACCTTATCCCTAGTTTTCCACCTAGGTACTTCCCATTGCCTTTTCTCCTTCTTCTCGTGGCATTGCTTATAACATTCACTTTTTACCTTTGCCATATTTGGTTAATCTTACCACATTGAATCAACGCAAATCAAATTGAATTTGAGTGAAATGAAATAATATTAAACGTGCTAAAAAATTTAAAGCACATTCACATAATCTTCTAAAGGATAAATCAGCTATTGGTTGTTTCTCAATAAGCAATTTCAAAAGCGTTCTGGCTGATCTCAAAAAGCCTAACAGTTTGTGGAATTGTACAAGTAGTTAATGTGGGACAATGTGTAATACGTAAGTAATAGCATGTATATAATGAATCTAACCCAGCTATTGAACTAAGACAATAACATGCATTGATCGAAAGATAACAAACAGTGAGTGGAAGGTTGATTACTTTGATCTTTGAGTTATTTGATAACTCGAAGTATACAATTTTTGTGATGTTTAGATTTAAAAATGTTCCTAGGTTATAACAAGATTTACATATTAGTGTCTTCAATGAAAACGGTGTTTGTAAGACTTCAATTGATGTACAATTTTCTATTTCCATTGATTTGAGTTGCGAATTTGGTATATGAATTAATCCTGTTAATGATGGTAAAGTCTTTAATTTGATCATTAAAACATTATACGGGATTGAAATTGTACTAATATCCTCACAGTTTTGCATTTCTATTGATGTTAAGTAGTGGCAATTTTTCAAGGAATACAAATTCCCGATTTTAGAATTTTCTATTTGAAGTTCTACTAAACTAGTTGGAATACTTATCCCTTGTCTTGCACTTACATTGTTAATCACTAGAGTTCGGAGGTTCTTGTCAGGAAGCCCTTCAAAATTCTCCATTCCCTCTATTCCTTTAATTCTTAGTTCTTTAATTCTTTGTGGATATTTTATATTTTTCTTATCCCACTCGATTTCCATACTTCTCATTTCTCCTTCTACATTAATATAACTTTTATCCTCATCAATCCCTTCCTTCGGCATTCTTAGTATTAACCCTTTAACCTTTGCCATGATTGTCAACTCCTCTAGTCTGCTACTTATTTCAACATGACTCATCTCCTTTCTTCCTTTGACCTCCACTTTCCTTATACTATCACAATATCTTATAGTTAATTCTTCTACCTTGTCTGGGATTCCCTTAATTTTTAACTTTCGACAATCTACTATTTTCATTTTTCTTATTTCCTTCTTCTCTTCTATCTTATATATTTCTTCAAGTTTATTGCATCCTTTGACAATGATTTCTTCAACTTTATCAGGTATTAACAATCGTTGCATGTCATTACATTCCTTAACCTTAATTCTTTTTAATTCTTTATACTCATAGAGTCTATATAGATCATAGTATTTGTCCTTTATATTCTTGATACCTATCCTTTCTAAGGTACTTGGAAGATAAATAGGTGCTTCCTTATCAAGATTGCTCATCTTTAATTCTTTTAGTTGTATCTGTTCTAGTCTCCATTCATCCTCTAATCTTCCCTCTCCTTGAAAAACTACTTTGAGACTTTCTAATCCACTTGGTAATTTAATTGATATCATTGTTTCAATACTACAATACAATTTCATTCTTCTCAGAGTCTGAAATATGTCATATGTCCAAATCATTTTACTTCGTTTTTCTCTTCCTCCTTCTATTTCTTCTTTAAACCTAAGACTTTCAAGAGACTGGAAGAACCAAGGTCGTTGAATTAACTCACCTTTTAACTCTACCTTTTTTATCAATGGTAACTTAAAAAAAATTTTATGCCCTTTGTCTGCTGTACAATTTCCTATTCCAAAACAAGTAATCCCATATAACACAAAGATTGACCTCCATTGTGCAATCTCTTTTGTAGGTTTGGTCATTGTTATTCCTTTAATTACTTTCTTATATAAGACTATTTGTGTTGATAATAACTTTACATCTTCATCAGTTATTTTTTTATTTGTTAAAAAATAAAGCATATTTCGTGGTGTATTTGCTATGTTTTTCTGTACAATCCCTGACTCTATTCCTTTCTTTAAATAACAAATGCCTTGACCCCGCCACCTTCCTATTACCTCTTTAATGATTTCATGTTCTACTATATCAAAATGGTGTATGATTATCATCTTTAGATATGACCTACCAATCATCTCCCCAATTTCTTCTTCAGTTCTTCTTTCTCCATCATTTTTCCACATGACCAACTCACTTCCTATTTCTAATCGTCGTAAATTACTAAACATCCCTATTTCATTCATTATTAAATATACATTCCTTGTACGTCTTCCCTTTTTAATGCTTATTCCTTGTATCTTCCCAAATATTTCTGGTCCTATGCAAATAGCCTCTTCTGGTGTTTCTTCGTCTATCTCAATCTCTATCCCTCTGATTCCCTCTAGACCTTCTTGCCATATTAGTTCACCCATTCTCTCAATACTCCGGTTGTTTATTATCACTGAAGTCACCATTGGAAATACTTCTTTAAATTCTTTACTATATGGGATTAGACTAGGATATTTACTTGTTCTCACACTTCTCCCATACTTTCTACTTACCATCACATACCTCTCAATGTCTCTCAACTCTTTGAAATAGGACCCCACTATTTGTATCGACAATACATCCATCTCTATTTTCTTTTCTAGTTCTTCTAACTTTCTTTCATTCACTCTTCTTCAATTTTTGCTTTTCACCCTTTTTCTTTATTTTTTGCACTTTTAGTACTTAGAAATATTTATAAAAGTTCAAATTATTGTTCCTTTCCACTATTTTCGAAGTTTCATTATTTTGAGAATTTACAATTAATAAAAATTTTCTTTATTTTTTAATAATTATTTTGATTGTTGAAGTTTCTTCTTTGTTTGAATTTAATTTCTTTTATTTACAATTATTAATTTAATAAAACAATTATCCTTGAACAATTGATTGATAATCAAATATGTTTTGTGCATGTTTTTTTGTAACAAACATTAGAAGGGTTTGTTTATCAGTTCATGAAATTACTTAAAAACACGTTTTCACGAATAGTGGATTACAATGTATTAGAATGTATTATTTAGATAGTATAGCAATATAAATAACTTATAACAATAATCTCCACTCTTTTTAGTCGTTAGAACCTCAAAAAAGCCTTTTATATTATTTTCATAAGAATACTTGAGAAGAACTAAAATAGTTTGTTATAAAAGATTTTAATAAAAAACTTGATTATACTAACCAGACTGAGGCATTGCTATAACTTATATTGCAATAAAAGGAATATCAATCAATGATATATTTTTCTGAATCTTGATATAACCAGAATTTTTTGTTCATAAGGTTATTGGCAATTATGTATTTCAATATAAAACCCATTTGAAACTACTAAGTATTTGAATAACATTAAATATTTTAATTATAAACTTACTTTCATGAAATAAGAGGATAATCGTCATCAACCTGGATATTAAAAACAGCAAATAAACATACAAAAATAAAAGGGTTATAAGTACTACTACTAATATAACAACTGTAACATCACATTTAGGTTTTATCTTTACTTAGAAAAGTATATTATTTTAATAAAACTTGAAACAAACAAAAAAGTTAGTAATTGTAAAAATATGAAATTAATGTTCACAACCATAGACTATGAGTAAAAAGATCAACTAAATAATAAATAGATTGAATAGAAGAAGTTCATAAGAAAAAGTGATAAAAGATAGAATAATTAGAAATTAGAAATAGTTATGAAGTACTGAAGAAATATGTAAATAAAAATTAAGATAAAGAGATTAAAATAAGATAGAGATAAAAAAGTGATTAAAATAATGACAAAGTAAAAGAAAAAATTAAGATATAACTAAAATGATCACTTAATATGTTGTAATTCTTTTTTATAAAATCTAATCAAAAACAAAAATAAGTGCATTTAATATAGGTTTAGAATATTTACTGACATATCAGTTTCCTTTATAAGAGTTCATAGAAAAATCCACTTTTTGGAGAAGAAAAATGAAAAATCTTCACTCAGATGAAGAAATTAATAGAAGAGTAATGAGTTCTAGAAGTTAACAAAGTTTATAAAAAGGAGCAATGAACTTATAAAATATCAAGTTATTCTAGATGTCAGTAGAAAGGGCTCTTGTTCTTGCCAAACCAGATGCCGTATGTATTAGACAAGCTCCTATTACTGCAGTCGAAACATTATTAAAGTCTATTAATGGAGGAAAACTTCTTTGTTTTGAACATCACGTTGTACCAACTGAATTGGCAGAACAACACTATGAAGAACATAAAGGAAAAGGTTTTTTCCCAAAACTTCTTAATTTCATTTGTAACCCAAATGGAGTCATTGTAATGGTTTTTGAAGGTGTTAATGCTGTTAAAACTATTAGAGAAGTATTTGGTCCAACTTTTGTTGAAAAGGCAATTCAAGTAGAATGTCTTAGAGGTAAGTTTGGAAGTTGTGGTGGAATTAATTGTTTCCATTCAAGTGACTCTGCTGAAAGTGGAGCACGTGAAACTAAATTATGGACTGATTACTTTAAGATTGAATTAAATGAAGAAAAAGCCAAAAAAGATTTTGATGAATATAAAGCTAAGTATGATGGTAAATATAAATCTGATGTATCTAAAGTTAGAGAGATAGTTAAGAAGATTAGGGCTGACTCTGAAGAATATGTTAATGCAATGAAAGAATTAAGTGATTGTGATGATTTTCTTATCAAGCAATTATTAGCTTCAATTATTTTGAATTAATTTTTTTTTCATTATTTTTAGTTTTTAGAAGAAAAGTTTAATTATCAAAGAGAAATAAGTTATTCTTTAATATTTTAATTAAAAATTAATGGATTGCGATGTATCATTTTTAGAGTTATATAAACTAAGATAGACGCAAGAACAATACCATTTAAAAACAGTAAATAATCCCATGCACTGAGTTTGTTCACGACTATTTTTTCTTGCAGAATTGTATTTTTTCTAATTTTTTCAAGAAGGTCATTAGCAGTTTGTCTCATTGAATCATATAAATCATACAAGTTCCCAAGTTGAATTGTTGTTGTTGACATAAATTGGTCAATTGCTTTTGTGGGTAAACCTTTTGGGACTTTTTCTAATGACTCTAATATCTTATTTAGTTGTTGTTGTCGTGCAATAACAAATTTTTTTGTTATTGCAGTTGATTTATCAATTTCATGAATTGTATCATAAATTATTTGTAAATTATACGATGACTCTCTTCCAAGTTCTAATGCAGTAAATTCTCTTGTTATTGAATCAAGATTAACACTAGTATAATGAGGATTGATATTATGTGTTGTTGAAGGAGTAATATCTTCAATTTCAATTGAGTTAAGAACTTGTGTATCTGATAATTCACCAGTTAATCCAGAAACACTAACAACAAGTCCTTTTGGTAATTTTTGATTATAATAAGTACAATGTTCATTATTAAAATCAATATTAATTTTTCCATTTATATAATTAATAGTTAATCGTTGTAGTGAATTACGATTAATAACTAGTGAACATGCTCCTTTTGAAATATCAGCACCATCTCTTTTTGGTTCATACGTTAAAGTTCCATCGTTATAAATCAATTGAATATTTGGAGTTGAAGTATATGAGTTTTGAAATGTATCAACAAATATAGCTAATCCTTTCCATTGTTCTTGTCCACCTAATGCTGTTCCAATTTCAAGTTGTTCTGGAGTTAACCAAAAAGCCATTCCATCTCCATGTTTTTTGTTGGAAATAGAGAGTAATGAAAATTCATATGTTACATTAAAATAATCACTAATTATACGTTTTTTTAATGAAACAATACCTTTTTGACTTTTTTTATCTGCAGTAATATACATATACCTTCCATTTGTATATGCATCTCCTTTTATTTGAAATTCATTTGATTGTGAAACGGCATTATATCGTTCTGATTGTACTTGAATAAACAAATAAAGAACAATGATTAATTTCATTGGTTTTGATTCTTTTTTAGTTTTTAATTTTTTATTTCTATTTGGTTTTATTTTATTAAAAAGGTATTTTCATTTTATCACATATTTGAAATAAAAATAATATTATAAGTTATTTACTTATAAAAAATAAAAATATTGATAGAGTCTATTACAATGTTAAAATATACTATGAAAAAGAAATAAGTTTTTATAAGAAAATTATATAATATTATTAATAACTTGTTCATGATAAATTAATTATCAAACACTTCAAAAAAGTATATATAAACGAACTAAATAATTATTTAATAAAAAAATATTTTCAATAACAATAAATGGATAAATAAATTATTCAATTAAACCAATTAATTAAACAATAAATATATATGATAAATTGTATTAATACTCTTGTAACAATGTTATAAATGACAATATTTCTTAAAATAGTATTTATTAAGATTCAAATAAAAAGATTAACATAATAACAATCATGGGACAATTTTCTTAAACGAACGACAACACAATAGAATTCTATAAATAAATAATTAATTTCTATCAAATAAAATTAATTAGTTTTTATTGATATTTTTTGGTTTGGAGAATCAATAAATTATTTTGAAATATAAACAATTATTTAATCGGAGAATAAAAAAGATAAAAAAAGATCTTTTTTTGACAGAAGACTTCTTCTATGACTGATTTATTTCAAGAAAAAGAAATTAAATTTGGCTTTGATTCCACAACTGACGATGAGTCTATGGTAAATAATAAACCAATGGAAGATACTAGTAATCATCTTGAAGATTTTTTTCTTCCAGAACAATCATCAATGGTATATGCTGAAAGCAAATTCATTCCTAAAGAAAAGAGAGCAAAAGGATTAATTGAACGTGAAAAAGGATATAAACATCGTCAAAACCTAAAAAAGAAATTCGAAAAGAAACCTCGAAGACCTGGACTAATTCAACATGAAACACTTCAACAACAAATGAAAGCTTCAAAAGAATTTAGTGACCCAGCTCCTGTATTTAATATGCCAAGAGATCCAAGAAGGTTACAAGAAAAAGAAGAAACGACAATAGAAAATGAAGAGCCTAAACGCAGAATTATTTTAACAAATAAAATAGAAAGAACACCTCTATTTAATTCAGAGACAACTGCTGACTCTTCAACAAATACTATAGATAATGATTTATTTACCATCGAGGATGATAATGATTTCTTCTCTTCTGATTTTGACTTATTTAGTCATCCAAAGAAACAACATTCAGAAAGTGAAGTACAGTTATATTGAATCAATAGGATCTCGTCATGTGGGGTTGTCCAAGGATTTTAAATTTGGAACAAACTGAAGTCTTATTTTTTATCTTTTCTATTTTTATTAGATCCTTTTTGGTTCAAGGATGATTATCTGAATCATTTTAGATATTCAATTGAAAGTAATTCTGATATTCAACTAAACTATTATGTATCTTATGTCAATATAATTAACTTTGACAACCCCAAAATCAGAATTCTCATAATAATAAAGAAAGTATTAATGAGAAAAGTTCTTATTAAGAATAATAATGTGATACAAAAAACTAGTGAATAATCTAAAATATTATAATAAACAACTACAAACACTAAATGAAAATTATGTACCAAAACTTCTTTCAAAATGAATAACTTTATTCTCATAAAGTGTTAGAATAATAAATTCTACCTCAAAGCAAAATCAATAATTTTGGGAGAAAAGATTCCTTGGTCTGTTTTATTTAAAGAAAATTTTATTTCAAACAAATCAAGTATGTTGAAAAAAAATTTACTTATTTTCTTCTTAGAAAGATAATAAATTAGATAAAGGATAAACGTTAAATTGAATTCAATTTCAGAATTTCTTTTGTTTTTGGGTGAAATAAAATAATATAATTTATTACTTATACTAATTGATACTAATACTAATTGAATCAAAGAAATATAATAATTATATTCTGAAGAATAAATAACAGTAAAAATAAATGATAGATGGATCAAATAAGAGGAAAATAAAAAGAATCAATTAGTTAAATAAATCAAATAAGAATGTTCATCAAAAGAGGTAAGAAAAAACTAAAATAAGGTAATGATAAGAATAACAAAACAAAGAAGTTATATTAATTACATAATAAATCAGTCTATGTTAAGATAATAAAAAGTTAGTGAGAAAAATAAAACAATGAAAGTAAAAAATTAATATTAGACTGTAGAATAAACAAAATTGAATAAAATGATAAACAAAATAAACGAAGATAAAGTATTCAAAGAATAATTTCTCTTGATTATTATTGATTATTTGAAAAAAAAGAAAAAATTATTAAAAAGAAGGTGAATCAAACCACTTTCTTGATATAAAATAGATGATAGAATATTAATTTTGTATAAAATATTATGAAATAATGAAACAAGATTCACAAATATGATAAATAAAAATCGTAAAATTAAGAAAGAACTAAATTAAAATTGTAAAATAAAAGAAATTGATTGAGTATTAGAAAAAGAAAGATAGGAAATAATATCAAACTGGTAATTCAAAAAACGAAAGTTAGATAAATAGTAAATATTTTTAGAAAATTTTAAATCAAAAAAAGATTCCAAATTACCACCAAAAATGTTGTTTAATAATAAAATTACTAATTTATTAAATTATATACTAAATATAAATTTAGTATTAAGATATAAAAATTACTAAATACTAAAAAAGAGTAAAAGAAAACTCAGTTTGTGTAATAACAAGAAAGTCAGAAAGTATTCTTATTATCTCTTTTATCAGGTTAATTCACTAATAGAAAAA